TGGCCAAGAGACAGCTTTGATAAAAGACATGTTTTCCAGTTTTCTGGATTCTAAAGAGAAAAATGAGCTTCTCTCTGTATAATCCATCATATTCTAAATGCGGATGTCCCGGAAAAACTGGCCGGAAAAAACCTCAATAGTTGGAATAACAGTATTCACAGTGGGTGAAAACAGTATATAGGAAGGGAGTAAGGTTTTCTCGTACTGAACAAAGGAGACAAAGGTCAGAATCTGGGGTTTAAAGGCCGGAATAAGAAAAAGTCGTCGGAATTTGGTGAAACTTGTACGGGATGGCTCGGAAATGCCTCGAGAAGAGGCTGTCTGAAGAAAGTTTTTTTGAAAAGTCGCCGGAAAAGGCCACACGCGCTGGCGCGTGGCAGGAACTCGCCGGAAAGTCAGGCTAGTTGGCGGCGCGTGAGGGCGCGTGCGATCTCGGTTGCTGGGGGAATTTACTGGGGTTTGGTCGCGGGGAGCTTGGCTCTTGATGGGTGTGGTGGAAGTTTAGGAATACGAAGAGATGGAAGAGGCTCGGCCATAGAAAGCACTGTTCAGGCATAGCAGACCTAGGGTTCAGACTTCTGTTTTACAGGGGAAGAGTTCTAGCCCTCTAATTGTCAAAATTCTGCCAGTAAAGAGTAGCTAACTCGTGATTATGACAATTCATTCGAATCAAGATGTGTTTTCAAAGAAAATAACATGCTAAATGGAAAACACGAGCAAATCAGAGTTCTATGGGCATGGTATGAGTGCAATCTTTGTTCCAAAGTTTTCTACTTCGTATTTATGTGTAGCAAATCTAGCTTCTTTCTCATAAATGAATCATCATATTCTTACATAATAACAATGAAAAAAAAAAAGATAAAAAAATGAGAAGCAGAAAGAAATGCAGAATAATTTCCTTCAAAAGAGAAAAGTGCAGAAGAAATAAGAAAAAAACCTATTGCTTTTCTCTTTCTTGTCTATTTTATTTTGCAAATTTTAATAGTTTTGTTATTTATTTATCTTTTTACAACAATAACAACAACAAACCCAGTTTGATCCCAACAGGTGGGGTATGGGGAGGGTAGTCTGTACGCAGACCTTACCCCTACATAATGCAGGTAGAGAGGCTGTTTCCAATAGACCCTCAGCTCAGGAAAGGCAAGAAGAAGAAGAGGAAAGCAAGGAAGGAAGAAAGATGGAAGAGAAAAGAAAAGGGAGAGATAAAGGATAAGTAGTACCAAATAATAGCAACAGGGAATACAATACCTGAGGCGAACAAAACCACACAACATAATAAAAATCTAAGAATATGAAGGGACATGCATGCTACTAAGACTATCGGTGAACAACTATAAACTACCTAATAACCTTCTACCTTAATCCTCGACCTCCACACCCTCCTATCAAGGGTCATGTCCTCAGTGAGCTGAAGCAGCGCCATGTCCTGCCTGAGGACATGACCCTTGTTAGGAGGGTGTGGAGGTCGAGGATTAAGGTAGAAGGTTATTAGGTAGTTTATAGTTGTTCACCGATAGTCTTAGTAGCATGCATGTCCCTTCATATTCTTAGATTTTTATCTTTTTTAATAATGCAAAATCATCTGAAGAAGTTGAATGGAGAATGGTTGGGTTAAATTCATGATCCAATAAAATATGATAATGTAGTTCTGCACGCAAAAGAATAATATTTAAGTATGAGGAACAAATTTTTCCGTTTATATGTTAAATTATACTTTGGGTACACAAAATCTGAAAGAAGAATTTTTTTATTATGAGTAAAAAGTTTCATGGATTGGCATCAAGAAGATGCAAAGTAGTAGAAAAGAGGTTACAAAAGATATTAAGTTAGCTCCAAAACATAATTGGCTATTGTAAGGCCAGGGAGCTCATAAAGTGCCTCTCAGGGGAATCTACAGGAGACATGTCATTCCAGCAAAATAGTTACAAGAGACATCTAGCCTAATAGAGTGATTAGGAGTTAATAAACACATAAGAACATTTTCTGTTCCTTTCTGTCCATAGACACCAACAAATACTAGCAGGGATCATTTTTCAAATGTTCCTGATGGCTTTACCAACTTTCCAACAGCTCCAATGTTCAAAGGCTATAATGCTCTGTGGCATGACCCTACTAACTCCAAAAATAAATAGAAACATGTTCCACAAATCAGCAGCAACTGTACAATGCAGAAACATGTGATTGTTGGTTTCTATACTCTAAAGACACATATAAAATCTATTCGCAACCTGTATGCTTCTTTTACTGAGATTATTTTGTTGTCCATATTAACTTCCATGGCCAGCAGTCCACCATTTTACTTTGTGCACAAAAAGATGCATATCCAGCTTTGACCGAGTATCTCCCATCTTTGGAGTTGCCCCATTTTACTTGTCCATTGCCTGAGGATTGATAGCACAGCTTTCCAGTTTAGAGAGAAGGTTAAGTAGTTCTTCAAACGCCCAATCTTGTTTATTTCTCCTGAAAAGTACATTCCAGGTGCTACCTTCTCTATTCTGGGGAATAGAGGAATCAGGATCACAAGAAAATTGGAACAGGTTAGGATGATCATCCTTTAGCTTACAGCTACCTATCCATTTCCAAGTTCAAAGTGAGAATTTTGGAAGAAATTTCCCCAAAGTCTGCATATGCCCTTCCAAAGGCCAACTCCATATGGGGCTCTCCATAACTTGGTACACCAGTGATTCTAAATAACATGTTTAGTGTTGACTACCTCGTTCCACAGGACTTGATCCCTTGTGTATACCTCCACAGCAAGTTCATTAATAGTGCTTTGTCATACACTGCAAGAATTTTAGTGCCCAGGCCCCCATAAAATTTTGGCCTTGCTTAGACCAGTTCACTAGATGAAATTTATGCCCCTTGCTGTTACCTTCCCACAGTAAGGATCTTCTGAGCCTATCAATCTGCTTCAGGACCTTGTTTGGAATGGGAAATAGAGTTGTATGTTGGAATGCTGTCCAGGACACTATTTATCAGTGTAAGACCTCCCCCNTCTTTTCAAATTTCTCAATCACACCATTCCAGATAGCAGCAGCTCTGTAGTTAGCACCTAGTTGGAGCCCCTGATAAGTAGTTGGGAAGGAACTAATACAGCAGCAAAGTTTTTCAGCCAACTCCTACGTAACATTTGAAACAAGGAATAGGCCCGCGTGTGAGGGGGCGTATTGAAGACATAATTAATAAATAGAAGTGTGCTCTCTCTAATAGCTTAACGTTTTAGATGAGATGGTTATACGTTCCCATCCCACAACCGATGTGGAACAAACTCAATAAAAAGTAATACCTTCTCCTTTCTGCCTTGCTTCTAACAGATTGAAAAAGTTGACAAGGAAGGGAACCAAACTCCTCTTTGTCTTTATTTACTCTTTTGCTTCACTTCATCACCTCCTTGTATTTTCTTACAAACAAGAGGAGCCTACTGCTTCACTTTACTTTTAATCTTTGCAACCCCTCCTCTTCCCTTAACCGAACACAGAAAAAGTCCATATTAGCTAAGCAGAGAATGAAGGTATTCCTAGCTGATATATTGTTTGAATTTACGTGATCCTTTTTCACATACCCAAGTCTGAGGCTCTGAGCTCAAAGTGCTCTACAAAGATAGGAAAAACATAATGTGAACACTTCCGGTCTCATACTCATGCTATTCTATATGCTTTTCAGCAGAAATTTTTAATCAAAGAATTAGTTCATCTCATCTTATTGTTTTACTTGCTTTTTTGAAAAATCTCATGACTAAGTTTTTGTATGCATGATTGGTAGGGCACTCATTTTTGGGTTTCCGGTATGTAGGCTTTGAGTCTATTCTGTCAAACATGGAGAATAAACCCTTAGTTCTTGTAGCAGGGAGGGAATAGTGGGAATGAGGGGCAAGTTCTATAGATGATGGCTTTTGTGCAAGTAAAACATACAAATTATTTGTGTGTATTTTAGATGATCAGAATGGTTGCTTGTATTGAGTTATACATCCTTGGAGTAAATTGTCTGTTTCATATTTAACAGCTTAACATGCATGATTTAGTAGGTTCATGAAGCCTTATTGAAGGATTGATTGTCATGTATGTGGTACCTTCATATGCTTTCCTTGCATGTAAGTTAAGGGTTGGTTTTAGACATTTGAGCAAATTAATGACAGGCCATTTTTGGTGCTCATGAGGGATGAAAATACTAAAATGCATCTTGAAGAAACTTGACTGGGATTGTGGCTTTTATTAACCATCATCTTACTTCGATCATTATCATGTAGCGCTCTTAGTTGAAAGTTCAGTGTGTCATTCGGAATGTCAAGTAATGGAGCTATGAGTTAGCTGTGCACATGCAGACTCATTCTGTATTTTAGCTGTTTTTCTGTTAAGACCTACCTGACAGTTAGACAGTTTGGATATACATGCTATGAGCCTCGTTTGAGAATTCGTTGCCTTTTCCTTTAACCTCGTTAACTTGCAATCATAAAGCTGCGGGCGGG